CTGGACGAATGCTATCACCCAAGCTGATGTTGCTGCAGCCGGAATGGCTGATTTATTTCTCATGGCTGCACACGTCAAACGAACGAGACATGCACACCAGGTTACTTGCAGTGCACTGTCAATCCTGCTGCATGATTCATATGATGTATACCATGAAGAGGAGCAGGACCCCATACCGTTTGAAGACTGGTGCATTAAACGAGCTGAAGCATCCCCTCAGTTCCAGTACTGGTTTCTCATCATGCAGTTGGAGCATCTCGTCCTCGTGTATGTCCGATCCCTACGAGAAATGCATTCCGCGAAGAAAATGGCGACCTTTTGGTCCTGGACAGCCGGAATGTCACCGATTCAGCCATAGCGGAAAGTGTGCGCCATATCCAGAAGACAGGGCAAGATCAATATGAGACATTCATGATGAAGCGAGTAGTCGAAAGGACATCACCTGTCACGGAGCCCCTCAAAAGAAACAAGCTGCCCCTGTTCAACTGCCCGCCGCAGAAGTCAACAACCAAGGCCAAGCAAATAGTATCATCACTCAAAAATTATTGTGGGTTGTTCTCGAGATTGTATATCGCATGCCAAACACGTGATGGAGACCTGGAGAATTTCTTCAAACACGAGAACCATACCTATCCACCATCCCTGTCTTACCTGGGGAAACTGAGACTAGGCACTAAAGCAGATCTTACCGGATGTCTCGAGAAGCATTGCCAAGTAAGAGATTGCCTTTTCATTCACATGTGAAGATATTTTTTCAATTAACAAGATTTAGACTCATGACAATCGTCACTAGCCTTATATTATTAATGTATCCTTCTCATGTCAGGTTAGAGAAGATGCCCCATCTGTCGATGTGATCATACTGGATGGTGCAGCAGTCATCAACATGCTGAAACCAGTCGGCGCCAAGACATTTCAAGAGTACTCCACACTCATATTCCTTCCCTACTTGAGAGCACAACTGAGAAATGCCATAAGAGTAGATATCGTCTGGGATGTCTATCTGGAAGAGAGCTTGAAGTTTGCTACGAGAGAGAAGAGAGGCAAGGGCATCCGAAGGCGTGTAGCAGCATCCAATACAATTCCGGGAAATTGGCAGGAATTCCTGAGGCTGGCTGACAACAAAACCAAATTGTTCCGATTCTTGGCGCACCAGGTAAAACACCAGCACATCAACAAACACACATTTTGATATATTCTTTAGTTATATATGTTAATTAATTCCAGTAACATTATTATGACCAGAACATTAATAAAAAGATAACTACACTACTGCTTATTTCATGTTATGCAGGTTCTAGAAAATCTGTCCACGGAAAAGGAAGTGTACACAACTTGCGATCAGCATTTGCTTTGCACTCGTGTTCGTTAAGACGTCTCAGCTTTGGTACCATGTTCACACGAAGAGGCCGACACACGGATGCTTCTCCATGCAATTGATGCCGCCAAAAAAGGCTTTCGTAAATTTCTTTGATTCATTTTCTTGAGATATTTGTTCAACCATGAGGTTCGAATAGTTACACACTGTCAAAGACATATAATCATGTCAATAGAAAAAATGGCTTGGCTTCACCTAAAAATATAATTTAGCAATTAATATCATATATCACATAAAGAGTTACATAAGCCTAATTATGTTTACCATGTAACATGACATTAGTGGCAATCATCCGACTTGGCTTATGAGATTGATATGAAGAAAAATCGCAACAGTGCATCGTAGACACTTGAAAGTGTATAGTCAGCCAAAAACACAGAGAGGGACGAGTCAAACGAAACGTGTCAGTGTACCTTCGAAGTAGTAGAAGAAGAGAAAGAAGTGGTAGAAAGAGAGCAAAGGGACGAAGTGACAGCAGATTCAAACCAAAAGGATATGAATCTTAATCGAGCCATTGAAAACGTTACAAGATTAGGCCGTGTATCTAGAAAACCATCTTATTATGGTTACTGAGAATAGTATCAAGGGTAGATATTATGAAATTTGACAGAGTCAATTAGTGTTAGCTCGTAGTGGTGCCACATATTCGGCGGGAGGGTCAGAGCGGGAGACGCACGTAGTTGATCGTGGGCTTATCACCGTTCATATTAAACTCCGTTATCACACTGGAGAGTTGTTATTACACTGGTATTTACGCGTTATTACATGCATTGTGCACTTATACGAAATTGTGGTGCCTTACGTTGGCCTATGGGATTATGGACATCCCACCCCTGCAATCTCGCCCCTACCGCCTCGCTCGTAGATGTCAAGGGTGGCCAGCGTAAAAATATAAATCCACATTACCTATATTGGTTGTAACCTTAACCGTGTTCCTAAACTATAATTTCTATCCCAAACCCTACACTTTAAAACCTAAAACCGTGAGTCTAAATTTGTTAAAAAAATTTGAAATTTTTAGCAAAATTTTAAGGAGGCGGCGTGAAACTCTCAACACCCGAGATCGTGTGAATGCTGTATATTACACACATGTCCATTGTGTAACAAATCTACTTGGTTTCGGCTGATAGCTATTGCGCCGCGTATACAACTTAAAATTTGGGTTTCAGCATGCCAGCTTGTTGTGGTAAGGGGGTGGTAGCGCAGGGTATTTCCCACACAGTTCCGCAACAGAGCCCAATAAATAATAAACGCTGAGCACAATGTATATGTGTAAAACAGTTTGAACTGACTAAACACGGTATCAGCGCACAGTGGTGTATGTTAAAAAAAGCATGTTGAGAACTATACTCGGATGTATAGACGTGATTGTAAACCTGCTAGCCGGCAGGGAGTGTGCTAGCGATAGCGCGAGCACATACTTATAGTACTATATCACTGATATTGTAAAGGCGTGACCAGTGGGGTTTACGGTGAAGTACGTAAAAATGTTGACACTTACAAAATTGTGTAATCCATTTGTAATATGAATAGTCTATTATATACTTAATATAAATAATATAGACAAGTGGAGACAGTGCCACAAAGAAACAGATTTAATAAAGAGGAAACTAAGCCGGTGACAGTACAATAGCTAATACAGTGTTGGCACATCCACCCGATAAATAACACCACCATGTGTTTGCGCAACCGCTACGCGAGCCTCTAGCTCTACACACTCCAGTGGCAAAAATCAATGTGAATAAGCAGCTAGTCGCATAAATTTAGGTACGAGTTTAGTTTTAAAATCGTGTAAACTGCGTGTTTACAATATGTACAGTTATGTACTATGTAGTGGCCTCGAGCCGGCCTCGACCCGAGTCCTCGAGTCCGGAGGGCTTGAGTCCGAGTCCGAGTCCGAGTCATTGCACTCCGAGAATAAGACCGAGGCCGAGACCAAAGAGACCGGCCTCGAGGACAAGACCGGCCTCGAGACCTACAACACTGCCGCTAACACAGGTTTGACTGTACCGGACACATGTATTGGTAGATGACGATGCAAACCTGCCAATAAGACATATTACAAATTCATTTGATATCATATTATATTTAAAAAAGATTATACGTTTATTATAATATTGCCATACGAAGACGAACCGATTTCACGCCGACCCCTCCCCCCAGCCGATAGCAGCATCCGATGACGTTCGCATCTGGAATCCCAGCCCACCCTTTCGGGTACCGACAATGGCGGCGGCTTCGATATCAAACAATCAGAGATCACGATCGTGGGTGCTGTCGCCATGCATAGCTATAGATCATACCCAGAAATCATTCTCTCTCCCGTTACATCGGCTGTCACCGACTCACGCAGAGAGATATAGGGGAAGATATGACTTGGTGATCTCACACGACAAGCGAATATATATACGGCATGTTCTAGAGAGTATGTAGCTCCTTGGTATATAGAGAAGAGGCAAATGCAAATATATAGGGTCAGGATTGGTCGGCTGCTACGAGGCTCCTGATTGGTCGGCTGCTACGAGGCTCCTGATTGGTCGGTTTCTACGAGGCTCCTGATTGGTCGGCTGCTACGAGGCTCTTGATTGGTCGGCTGCTAGGAGGCCCCTGATTGGTCGGCGCTACGAGGCCCCTGATTGGTCGGCTGCGACAAAGGCTACAAGGTTCATGATTGGCCGGCTGCCAGGTGGCCCCTGATTGGTCGGTTACTACGAGGCCCCTGATTGGCCGGCTGCTACGAGGCTCAGGATTGGTCGGCTGCTATGCGGCCCCTGATTGGCCGGCTGCTAGGAGGCCCCTGATTGGTCGGTTGCTACGAGTTTCCTGATTGGCCGGCTGCTACGAAGCTCAGGATTGGTCGGCTGCTACGAGGCCCCTGATTGGCCAGTTGCTAGCAGGCCCCTGATTGTTCGGTTGCTACGAGGTTCCTGATAGCCCGGCTGCTACGAGGCTCAGGATTGGTCAGCTGCTACGAGGCTCAGGATTGGTCGGCTGCTAGGAGGCCCCTGATTGGTCGGCTTCTACAAGGCCCCTGATTGGTCGGCTGCTACGATGCCCCTGATTGGTCGGCTGCTACGAGGCCCATGATTGGTCGGCTGCTACGAGGTCCCTGATTGGTCGGCTGCTACGAGGTTCTTGATTGGCCGGCTGCTAGGAGACCCCTGATTGGTCGGCTGCTACGATGCTCAGGATTGGTTGGCTGCTACGAGGCCCCTGATTGGTCGGCTGCTGGGAAGCCCCTAATTGGTCGGCTGCTACGAGACAACTGATTGGCAGGCTGCCAGGAGGCCCCGTGATTGGTTGGTTAGTACGCAGCCCCTGATTGATGAGACCCTCGGTCATCAGTACACATGCTAGTTGTGGATGTGTGTGTGTGTGTGTGTGTGTGTGTGTGTGTGCGTGTGCGTGTGCGTGTGTGTTTTGTGTGTGTGTACGTATGTGTTTGTTGTGTGTGTGTATGTGCGTGTGTTTGTGTGTCTGCGTGCGCGCGTGTGAGTGGGTGCGAGTGTATGGGTCTGCGTGTGTGCGTGCGTGCGCTTGCGCGTGTACTTGCAATAGCCTTAGAAGCAATTGTCGAAGGTAGATGAGGTATAAACGTACAGGACGCGTATAGCGAGTTACCTACCTAGTATATTCGGATGCAACGCAAAGACAAAAGATCATAAAGGACTCGACGGCAGGCGAATTATTTTTACATATAATTCATCAGATTTACAGTAACATATTTTTGTTATTATATTGGGTATTACTTCTATATATATTATCATATATGTTTTTATTATATGATTTATATAACTAACGATTGCATTATTCCAAAAAAGCGGCTAAACGTATACTGTTGTAATGTATGGAATCCCCCTTGGAGAATGGATAGAGAGATCCAACTATAGTATATGATAAGTCCTAACTAGGCCCAACTAGTATATTATTGCTATGGCGTCCTGCGAGCACAGAATGTCTTCCCTCATCTTACAAAACTAGTGGTTTGCACATACTGCAAAACTGCTTGTGCATTAAGCCATACTAAACCATCTTAATTTTAGATATTAAAATAAAAATTTATTTTTACCGTGCACGTGTAATCCCCTTAGAATCAGATACTAGAATCAGGGTTAATAAATACATAACTAAGACGTAATGGTTTCTCGATTATTAACGCTTGTACTAGATTGTCTGTTATACACTTCCCTGATGCAGTATTCATTACTCTCTGCTGCCAAAGTGCCCGTTATTATACACACTATAT